CCAGAACGGCGCAGGTGTGCCGGTGCTGACCTGTGGCCATTGCCAGCACGTGCGCTTGGCCGCCTTTGTCTCTCCAGTGCTGATGTTCACGACCGCCATCGCTGCACCAGGCGCACATTGCAGGGCGGAATGATCCCAAAGGGAGGCACGGGCTTGACCCCGATACCAATTGGCGCTCGGTGACAATGTGCATCATGGCGAGGAGCTGAACGCGGGTGGATTAGATTGCAATCGTGACACGAGCGTGTATTATAGGAGATTAATAATAACATGACCTGCCCCTTTTCGACCCTTTAAAAGACTAATTCATTTATAATTAATTGGCAATGGCTATAATTTATTACTGGCAGTGTGCAAGTCCTGCCAGGTAGTTGGCAGCGAAATATCACTGCATGCAAGCCACGTGCAGAGTGTGCTGCCCCTGATCAGTAATCTGAACATACATATATTTCTCGTTACAGACACATTCAATGCATGTATGGCATCTTGAGTGGACCATTCCTCGTAATTCTCAGTCACGCCACACATTGCATTGCACTAATAAATGCATCGCCGATTGGCGAATGGTCACATTGACAAAGACAAATATCTCTGTCATAGTATTAACAGACTGTAGGGGCAAGTGCTGTCAGCAAGCACCCATAAAGGCCGGCACGGCACACGAAGGGCTACGTGGCTAGCACCACGCCCGACCGCCTTTGTCTCCCCAATAGAGATGTTTATATGAAGCCGAGTCGACCTAGGGGAGGCCCAGGACGAGTTCAGATAATCGTCACTGGTGTTGGCCGTGAGCAGGAATCGAACTCTGGTCGCCGGGTTCGGAGCGCCATCCGCTAACCAGTGCGCCACCGCTCCCCATGGTCACCCATGGTCACACACACGCACACTCAGACATAAATACACACTTTTCCATTGTAGCATTCAGCGAGCAACTGGTGCAATGTCCCCGTTGAACAGTTGCTTGGATGCAGCCGGCGATGTTGTGCCTTTGCACGATGCGCAATCTTCGCGGTAAAAAGTGTGCATTCAGAAAACATCAACAGCTATATATAAAACCATATTTATAGTCATATGTTTACTGTGTCTGTTAATACAATTATATGCCATTCATTACGAGCATGGGTAAAGGTGCAGCCTTGCAATAGGTTGCTCACGTCACTGCTGGTGGAAGGAGCCTCCACTAGAGGGAGCACTTCGAGGCTATTTGTGGCCTATCCTTCCATGCCAGCAAGACATTTAGGAAGTGGTGGGAGTACCCACACTTTACCCCACCACACAACCTGCCAATGGAGTAACTGTGGTGGTACCCAATTATTTTACTTCAGAGGACAGAGGTGGGGTGTGAGGCGGGGGAGGGTATTTAAGGAGCTCGCACCATCGTTTGAACTGCAATGCCAGGAGTTTGAACCGGTGACCTCTGCATTGCAAGGTCATTGTCCTCACCATTATACCGTGGCAGCATCACCATTCATTACTACTCATTATGTATTTGCATGAAAAAGCCTGGGCTGAGTCTGAAGACTCTCTTTCAGGAGGTTCCTGCCTGGTTTGTGAGGCTTCATTCCGTAGACACAGGAGTGTTTTAGGGTGTGTGGGAGGATATTGGGGAGTGCCTGAAGGAAACCCCATGGGCAGATAAATGAGAACATTAAAACTGAAGAGCGTCGAATTTTTGCAACCTACTTTCTGTACTGCATCCTACGAGTAACTTATTTGCCCTGTTGATGGATGCCACTTGTTTGAAGTCTCCATCTCTCTGTGAGCCACTAACCCCCCCCCCCCCCCCCCCCCACTCGTAAGTCATTGGATACAGGCAGGTTCATCTACACATTATTTATCTTGGCGTGAGGAAGGCTTCATCGAGTCATGGATTGAGAAAGGGCCGTACATTATTATTTTTAAATCGTTATAATCCGACCGGATGCTGCTCACAAACGATAGAGGGCCCATCTAACATTAGCAAGGTCGCGGCGAGTTCACATCCAAGGCCAGGAATCACCTAATCACATCATCTATTTTGCCTTCGTAAAAAAATAAGGACACTTGCAGTTGTACCACTTTGTGAAAGATCAACAGTGGGTGTCTATAATAACTGTCGCCTGCCAAAGGAATGTGGAACTTCCAACAACGGCCCAATGGCTGGCAATAGAGGTGATCACTGCCTCTATGGGATGATTTGTTAAGACCGTAAGTAAAAAAAACGAATTGAAACAAAACAGAATGTCAGCATGCATATATACAAGTCTATTGTTTTTTTCGTGCAAAGTATCTCCACGTTGGAATGGCGCATTGGGCAGTGCCGATCTCTCTTTCGGTTTGGTCCGTCCCACGTGCCTGGAGTGGGAATGTCACGTTTCTATGACAAGTGCCCGCCATTCAGTGCACGTGACCACACCGAGCACGTGACCAAACCGTGCACGTGACAACACCGTGCGCGTCTTGCCAGTGACAGCCCTGGATGCCACTCTAAGGCCATTTCCAAGTCATCGTCCCTACATAGCCCATTCTTGGAAACTGTTTATGGATAATCTGCCTTAGGGCTGGATGTAATGCTCAATTCAAACCGCGTGCAACTGTGCCAGCCGTAAGGAAAGCTGATAAATGTCCATTAGAAATCCCCGCTTGCCCAGTTGCATGCGTACGTACGCCTGGTCGAGCAAAGTTGATGTCGTAAATATTATCGCTATTTTGTGAAATGGCAATGTAATTGTTCGCGTACGGATTTACACGCCAGTACGCGTGTGCAGTGTTTGTGTGTCACAGTATGCTGTATTTCAAGCCACGCAAAATAATCTGCGGGCATTACATTTACAAGGTACTGTTTTGGCCCTGACTTTAAATGTTTTTTTTTTATGTGGATGTGACATATAGACAATTAGGTTTTGCAAATTTTTGCTGCGTGTTATATTTATCCTTTTTTGTCAAAGGATATTGTTTTTTTTTGTTTCATTTCCGATGTTTAATTATTTAAGTTGAATGCATAATTGTTAAGTTGCACTCGTGTCGCACCTTCGAGGAGTGTTTAACATATCTGTATGTTCTCAAATTACCGGTGCCTGAATTGTAACCGTTGTCATTCTCCCAACGAAGACGTTGTGGCCCGTGTGATATTGTTATAGCTGGAGAAACTGACTTACACGAGCATTTAAAAAACATATTTTTTTACCATTTGTATCATTTTATCACGCGTTCTGTACTGTATTATACTATTCTCACTATTCTACACACACACACAAAGACACTCGCACAATGCTACATGTACACACGTGTACGAAATTGTACAACCCTTAATACAGTACCAGTAGTGATATGCAACGAACTATGCACGGTAGGTAGATTCCACAGCGATCTATGCAGCAAAGATTGTGACAGAGAGAGAGGGAGAATGTCATTCGCAAGGAGGCGCAGTTTACGGGATGACCTTGAGAATCCATACCCAATCCAACCGATCCCAAATCTTACAGGCGTACATGCCTTCCACACACTCACACACGTGTGTGAGTATGTAACACACACACACGCGCGTGTATATTCAGTAAACCGTGCACATGCAATCCTCACGCCAATGTATTTTCACAGGGCTTCATTTTCCGTTGATATCAACTGGCTAGCAACCAATCCCTGCAGACATGACGCTAAAAGCACTGCAGATATACACACACACACACACGCGCGTACGTACGGATTTCACATGTCACATGTACACGTGTGTGTATGTGCTTTCATTAATGGCAAATGCGTTTTGTCTTCATTAAATGTTCGCTAACGTGGAATTGTATTGTATAGGGCCAACTTGTACTGCGCCAACATGGATTCATTACTGCAGTGTATGGAAAGTGGTGTTTGCATTTGTGTGTGTGGGTGTATGTGTATTGCAGTCCGACGATATATATACACACACACAAAATAGTATGCAGAAAAAAATATAAAATACAGCCTAAAAGCCAGGCAATTGTATCCGAGTGTTCAAAAAATAGCTTAGCTAAGAATCTGTGCATGTGCAATTAATATGAGTTGATATGCTGCAATTGAAGAAATGTTATATTGCTTAATAATACAGTACCATTTTTGTCGAACAATACTTAACGCCCCCTTTCATACATAATATACTAAATGTAAATACATCTACTGCAGTGTACACATATATACTGTCGTACAATGTAATAGTATAATGTACAGTATTATGTAATTCAATAAAATATTGGTATCGAGGTTATGACACAGGTGTTAATTTGGAGTTGGTGTGTGTACGTCTGTGATGTGTGTATGTACGTAACAACGGTTTTGTATATACTACACATCGTGTGTTGTCGAATGGAATTATTTATATAATGTGTGGCTAAACATGTGAATACATGTAAGCAACATGTGTGTTGAGTGAAGGTGTATTAACTCATAACATTACATTTACAGCTCTTGGTAACAGATGGACGTGTGTGTGTGTGTGTTATGAAACGCAGGTTAGTGTATATAATGTATGTGTGTGTACGCTTGTCACACACACTGTGTGTGAACGCATGCAGCACGCATTACACACTCATTTACGTTACGCAATATCAGTATGCAATGCATGCGTCACAGTGTATCAGCATGTGCAACGTGTACCTACGCCTGTGAATATATGTGTGCACGTGTGTCCATCCAGCAGGCGTACACACGTGCAGGTGACACCCCTGCATGCACGCGGACCACACGAAATCTGCGTGTATCAGAGATGTGCGCGCGCGTTATGCTGTGCATGGCAGGGTCCCGTGCGTGTCCACTGTGTGACCATATAGGACACCTGTCGATGTGCACACGTACGGCCGTGTGCAACGAACAACACGCGTGCATTGCCGCCTATCAATGTCGCGTCTCACAATTTACGTTCACCTGCGCGTGTGACTGTGTGTGTGTGTGTGCCCGACATGATACCCGTGACAATGTCGATGTGTGGTGTATGCGCGCGCGTGCGTGTGTGTGTGTGTCCGCAATACACGATATGCTATGCCTCATCTTACCGCAGTCAAGATGCAGACTGCTGCCACCTCCCGCCAGCTGTAGCGGTGGCCAAGAGCGGACGATCAAGGATGGATCAGGCAGCCGCAGCAGCTCCCTCCGAAGCGAGCCAGCCCTCTCTCCTGCACGGCACACTGCGGCTCAGAAACACAGCTCTTGCTGGGTGCGGTGAAGGGTGCGAAGGGGAGTGGGTTTGGCGATGGGGAGAGTGGGTGGAGAGACTACGCGAGCACACGCGCACACGCGCGCGCGCGCACAGGGATGGACGGAGGCAAGCAAAGCGAGCAGGCGGTGGTGATGGAGAGAGAGAGAGAGTTGGTCGGAGGCTGACGGGGGTTGCGTTGGATGCTCTAGACGGGGAGAGCTCCTACAGGGGCTGTCCTGCACATGCAGTGAAATGCTGTGCAGCTTTCGCAGCCGGCTCGTTGGCTCGTACCACTCCCGCTCTTTGGTGGGGGGGGGGGGGGGGCACACGATGGCGATGCTGTAGTGGGATATTCGTGGGTTTGGTGGCTGGGGGGAGCGGTGGCGGTTTAATGTGGTTGCTGCACGTTTAGTCATTCAGTGCAGCTGAGCTGGGCTGTACCACTCGAGGCAAGGGGTGGAGGAGAATGATGTCAGTGAGGTCGTCTCAGCAAGGTGGCTTGTGGATGGGGCAATTGCTTGGTGATGCCTTAGCCCATTGGGGACCCTAAGCAACAACAAAAAACATAATTTTTTGCTTCAGGTTCCCCACTTTCAATTTATGACCGCCCAGCGAAGTGAAAGGTGTACAATTCTAGAAATGCAGTGAGATTAGATAAGGATGGGAGGGGGAGATTAATCACAAATGTAGTGAAATGAGAGCGATGCAGACAATCGAGAAGAGATAGCGTGAGCTGAGAGATATGCGGACAAGATAGGCGTGTGGAGATGATACAGGAAATAATGTAGCACTCAAATAGAGTAAGATAACGTGGACATGGATGTATTTGGAAAAAATAAAAATGAGAATTGCGGGAGATTTCTTCAATTGAGATTCGAGAAAGATACTAGAACATGCATGAAGATGAACGAATACGCGTGGGAGATATCGTATCATTATTCAGAGATTGACATGATATATAACTTGCATTCAGATGGGTTAGAAAGGGGATAAGGAAGATGATGATAATAAATTATAAATGTTAGTATGATATATAAGAGATTATATATGAAATAGGAAACGGATACATTCGCAATCAATAGGTAGATTTAACATTAATTCAGATGAGATATTGAAGAGAGACGTATTCATCAGTTTAAAAGGGAGAACGATTATAGAAGAGATGCATTAAGATGACACATATATCCTGTAGAAAGAAATTATTGAGGAGAAGAAGAGATACAGGAGCGACAGAACAGGGGACAGGAGAGAGATGTAATGATAAGATGTGAGATAGGACGCAGGTGTATTCAGAAGAGACAGAAGAGAGATGCAATGAGAAGATGTGAGACGGGGGACAGCTGTGTTTAGAAGAGAGGGGCCAGGAGAGAGATGTTGTAGAGCGCGCGGGTGCTCTGCTCATCCTGCTGTCCGATGTTGTGGCCGTGACGAGCATTAAGCCCCCCAGCCCACCACCCTCACTGATGTCACCGCCAGTGTTACGTGACCACCGGGCACGCGACGTAACTTAATTACATCACACAGTTGTGTCGAATAATTTAGTTGATCGACTCCGTGCAAATGTACCACTTTATTGTGTCGTTTGCAATCGACGTATATTGGCCTCTGAATGCGGAGATGATTTTTTGGTTCACTCCTAATGGCCTTTTTATTTTCGCCCTCGACCCAAGGGACCCCTTTAAACACTTGGAGGGGGGGGGGTGGAAGGGGTGTGAGGAGTTGGGGGGGGGGACCCCTAAGCTTTTGCTTCGCGTGTGGGCCTGGCACCGCCACTTGGCGTGGGGCGACTTTGACGGTGGTTGCGGACTACAATGCCCAGTGCTGCACCGTGTCGTGATGCTGCTGCTGCTACTGAGCTGGGATGTACCACTCCTCCTCTTTCGGGGGGGGGGGCGGTGTAAGGCGAACGATGGCGATGTTTGGTGATTGTGGGATTATCCCAGGCAGGTGGCTGTGTTGGTTGGGATGGGGCTTCATGAAGGGAGCACGTGGTGGGGGAGGCATAATTCCGCAACTCCGATTAGCACGGTTGGCAATACGTACGGTGCGAAAAAAAGTTCAACATTCATCATGCGGTTCTGCACTCTAAGCAGTATCATGCAGCTTGGCTGGATTGTACCACTGTGAAGTTTGAATGGGGGGGGTGGGGGGGGGGTATAGGGATAAATGTATGAGTTCAATACGCTGTGTGCAGTGGTGGTAAATTGTTACTCGTACGAGAATTATCAATGCATTGGAGTGTTATTCCGCACCTCCGATTAGCGAAATAAGTTCGACATACCGTACACACATACATTGGCAATACTGAATGTCATGAACAATAGCGGACAAATGTACGGCACGTGTAACACAATACAATGGAGACGTGTCAAATGATCAGGAAACAGGTGACAGCATCGCATCTGTAAGCTGCCTGTGGCCAATCTACGCCGTGGACTCGGCACTCGACTCGCTTTTGAAGTCCAAATTCTGGTCGAAAGTTGGCTCGGTTCATCACTCCTCTGGGGTAGATAAAATACCGTACCGGTTTTTTTTACCGTTCTGGATGAGTTTAACAACAACAACAACCGTAAGTCGCCACTAAGTGGCGGTGACTTCACCACGGCGCTTGTGCCAGGCCATGTGCACGTTGAGGCCACGTGAAGTGTCGAACGCCCGCTGGCAGGAGGTCACGGGGCAGACTCAAGTGCCACGGGTCGACTGACTGAGATGACTGGCACCACCTGTATCCCCTACTGTGCCAACTTGCTGTGCTTTAGCCACCCGGCGCTTCGCTCGTTGTTAACACCTAGTTTAACACACACATACAAAACCTCTTGCTGAATGAGTTTGGTGTGTTTTCCTCTCGGTGTATTCCAATCGTGCCATTGCCGTCATGTTGTGAGACAAATCCATTCGGGAAATATCGCATACTTGGAAGAAGGGCTAATTGAAGAGATTTCGTTTTTCCTCGGGGAATTAAAAAAAATCCTCCAAGTCGACTTTTCGACGTAGGGGGCGCAATATCCCCCGCACGCTACTATGGATTGTTAAAATTTAACAAGTAGGCTTTCGCAACCAATATCATCCATAAGTTGTGTGAATATTGTAATAATTAGATCAGCTCTGAGAATTCACAATTGAGAGTTGTGTGAATATTGTAATAATACATATTTACGCGATCTAACCCAAACAAAACTTGTATTATTAATTATTACAATATTTACACAATTATCAATTGTGAATTATCAGAGCTGATCTAATCCAAAATAAAACTTTTATTATGAATTATTACAATATTCACACAACTATAAATTGTGAATTATCAGAGCTGAAACGGTACAATGCCAATTGTAACACGATTCATAATTGATTTATTTGGTTAGACCGCATACAGTATATGCTCCGGCCAAATTTGTGTCGTGAAAAAACTTCCGCCGCCCGACACAGCCAAACAAATGTAATTGTCACTCGATGTACAAGCATTTCATGCTCCCATTATTATTATTATCGTTTCGGAACTCACCGGTCAGTCGAAAAATGCTCAAGACCAGATTTGGCAGCAAATTCGATGCACCGTTTTTGTTCGAAACTGCGTCAAGGATCATCAGGGCAAGGATCCAGAAAGTCACAGCCATCAACTCGCTATACGTACTTTATAAGCAGGATTAATTACAGGAAAATTGCCCGCATTTGAATCCAGGCTTTGGGCAGCATCGGTTCTGTGTGTGTGATGTCTGAAGCGACCCAGTCACCTCTGTGATTACCACCTACGAGCAGTCACTCGCAACAATCACTGTTCTATGGAATTGTAGAATTTGCTATGAACTCTCAGGGCATCATCAACGTTATCATCATAATCACGATCATATTAATTTTCCCGTCATCACTATAATTAACATCGCCACCGATGTTATTAACGTCAGCACCGTTATCGCTCCTTCGTTGTCTCCACAGTTAACGTTATTGTCATCAACACTCACCAATTTTTTTTCGATAAAATATGAAGAAATTGACGTATCCTTTACGAACGCTGAAAATAGAAACCCCCCAGGCTTTTCTTACCGCGCACATGTAAGGGAAGCAATTGCAGATCCCATAATCTTTGAGAAATTAGACGTTCACAATGTCCTTGTATTATCCAATTAAACGACCAATTAACGTTAATGCATCCTAGCACTGACTATGTCTGCTTTTGCCTGTGCCTATGTGTGTGCTTTCCTTCGGAGGGGAGCGGTAGTGTCGCGGTTAGCACGCTGTGCTATGAACTCAGCGACCCCAGTTCGATTCGCGCTCACGGCCAACACCAATGACGATTATCTGTACCGGTCCTGGGCCTCCCCTAGGTCGACTCAGCCTCAAGTGAGTACCCAGTGCGGTGTATAAACATCGCCACTGGAGAGACAAAGGCGGCCGGGTGTGGTGCTGGCCACCCACCCCCTCGTGTGCCGTTCCGGCTTTCATAGGTGCTCGCCAACAGCACTTGCCCCACCAATCTGTTAAGGCTCTGTGGGGGATCTTTGTATTTTTGCTTTCCTTTGTAAGCGGTGCGTTGCTGCGTGCTAATTGCAAAGCGTATGCTGTGCTGTGTGCGAAGGGGCGGAACGTTTCACGCATCGATTCTTCCACTAATATCGATTTTTGTTTTGTTTTTCAGCTCACGATACACGCAGAGAATCGTTCGTGTACGAATAGATGCTCTATAGATGCTTTTCAATTTCGAATATTCGTTTGCGAGTGGGGTGATTTGATTTAGCTCTTCCTTCAGCCACTAGAGGCGCTACATTCTTCGCAATTTAACAACTAAATAGAGCATAGCAACAATTTACTTATCTTATATACATAATAGTTGTTTGTCTTTTAGTTTCATAATAAATGTTATGTATACAACCCTTTGGCTGATTTTTAAAGTGTTACATGAACAGGACAGGTGACGTGTTATCATGTAAAGCAATACGTGAAAAGACCTCGGTTTGCAATTCATGAGTAAAACTCTACTATCTACACAATATACATAGATGTAAAATGTAAAAACTTAAATATCTTGGGAACAGTAGCCAATCAGTTGTTTTAATCGTTATATTTGAATTCAGCACGTCAAAATCCATAACAAACAGCACATTTCATCTCTCAAGCAGACGACGTCTAAATAATTGTAGACCCGTGTCATTTTGAGTTCAACTCACGAGACCACGATATCGCAACGACGATCGTTGCACAGGGTCACAGTGGTCACAGTTGTGCCTCACAAGCAGCACGGGCCTGGGTTCGAATATTATTGTAGGAGTTTGATTCCAGACTCGTACGGCTTTCGACGTGC